GAAGAGAGGGGGTACGTACTCAGTACGAGCAAGGTGTACCCGCGTATGCAAGTGCGGGGAAGACGCRCCAGCGCTGAGGCGGTTACTCCGCATGTGAGAGGAGTGACGTGGGGGAAAGGAGCATGCAAGGTGTACCTGGCCCACAACATAGTGGGATTCAGGCAGATCAACGCGTTGGGAGCAGCATGCAAGGCGTTCCCMGCCCACGTAGCAGGCACAGAGGGGGTGTGCGGAGAGACTGAGAAAGAGAGTGAGAGGATCAGACTGCGCAGCGTGCTCGAGAGAGAGGGAGAGAGACAGGGGGACTTGCCTTTGGGCGGCGTGCCAGGTATATCTGACATTCCGTTAGCACCTGTGGCGCGGGGTAAGGGGTAGAAATTGATTATGGCAGGGTGCCAGGAGTACGGGGCGCTAGTTTGACTGAGAGGTGATGGTTCGGGAAGGAGACTTGGAGAGACGCGCTAGGCGTAGCCAGCTGATGATCCAGCAGCAAGGGAATCTGTACGCTCTCGATAATTGCGGGAGCACGGCGTGCGCGGCTGTCAGATGGGCAACACGAGAAGGGGAATATGGTTGTACTGCAGATGGGATCTGCTGCCCCACGAGTGAAAACACCAATCACTCTCTACTACAGATGAGATCTGTTGCCTAACGAGTGAAAGCACCAATGACACTCTACTGCAGATGAGATATGATGCCTCACGAATGAAAACACCAATCACACTCTACTGCTGATTAGATCTGCTGCCTCACGAGTGAGAACACCAATCAACATCTACTGTTGATGGGATTTGTGAAAGTATCAATTACATTCTACTGTTGATGGAATCTGCCACCCTATGCGAGAAGCCAACGGCCACTTTCCACAGTTGGTGGGATTTGCTATCCTGCAAGGGAGAACTACAACTATATTCGGTCGCAGATGGAATCTGGTAATCCGCTAACGGAGAGAGTCACCAAGTTCTGTAGTAGATGGGATCCGCCAGTCTGCTGATGACACTGTTGAAGAAACCAGCCATAGCGCTGGGCAGAGGTAGATTCAACTATACCTCTGGTTGATGAACCGGTGATTCTCGTGGGAACCCAATTTATCCGCTCCGTTGACCCCAGAACCAGCCACTCCGAAAGAAGGGAAACTTATGAGATCAGGTAAGTTGTACGCGAAGGCTGGTGGGTCCACGGGCACGAGTGCTGAAGGGAGGGTTTGAGTGAGAGAGTAAGTCAGTGACAAAGAAAGATAGTGGGGTAGAGCTGGAAGAGAGTGAAAGAGGGTCAATTTAAGCCGCTTGTCTGAACCAGCAATCACCATTAATTTAATTAATTTTCTTTTTTAGGGGAACAAAACAGTGTCTCATTCGCTGCTTCGCGAAGATTAACAGTTATTAATCATCATCAATTTAATTATTGTAGAGGAAAATATTTATGTGCTTGATTCTGCTGCAGTTAGCTGAGACTAAAGTTGACCAAATGAGAAGTCCGCTACTGATTTAACTATTTTTAAGAAAACAACTGAGGGCATACTTCTACTGCCCCTCTCAATCAATCAAGGGTAGACCTGAGTACGCTGCCGGAAAAGGGGAGAGCGCAGAAAGAGAGAAAGTCAGCGAGTGATGCTCGTGAGCGGGGCAGGAGAGAGAGAGAGAGAGAGAGAGAGAGAGAGAGAGAGAGAGAGA